CATCTAAGAAAAGCATTCATCTGGGTAAAGAGTAGATCTTTGAGGGTAGACTTACAAATGGATCTCAAAGGGGCAGTGCTTTTCCATGAATCAGTACCTTTACCCCCTCTGTTCTAACAGAATCTAGAAATGGGACTTTCCATGTCTGCGATGATCTTCCACACTCTCGGTTCCAAGATATCTATCTGTTCTCTGGGGAGAATCCTTTGGCTACAAAATTCTAATGTAGGAGGTGTAGTCCTGCCTGACTCAGGTCTTGGAATTTTCCTGTCCAGGTACACACAATTCTCCTTGCTTAAAGATGAAATTAATTTATACTCTTTACAATTTACGAGGGAGATAATAAATGAAAATTTTAAAGTAACAAAAGTAACTGAATTAATGTCCACTCTGAGTTCTCTGTGTGTGCTAAGGCTGGAGCTCCCACTGAACATCCTTCCACCATGATGACGGGGCTAGGGTGTATTTTCACATGACTTTCCTGGTGGTTTAAGGAAGAAAACTTATGGCTGGAGGATCTACCTCATTGATTGCAGACATAGGGTGTCTCTTCCTGCATTCTCTGGTGCATATAAATGTGAGAGGGCATCTAAAGGCTCTTCTCCATTCATGACTTTTCATATGATGACTAAGGTCATGTCTTCATCTAATGCTTTTGCACATAGATGACACTCATATGGTTTGTCTTCAGTGTGAATTAGTCCATGACTTTGAAGGAATGAAGATTCACTGAAAGCTCTTGCATGGTCATTCCAGATAGAGGGCTTCTCTCCTATGTGGGCTTATAGGTGGGAAGAAAAGTTGGCCTCTGATGAATGATCTCCCACATTCATTACATTTTCAGGATTTCTCTACAGTGTGATTTTTGGTGTATATACAGCCAAGGCTCCAGCTGAGTTATTTCCCTCCTTCACAACTTTTGTAGGGATCTCTTCAGGCTGAGTTCTTTCATATTGTCTAAGTTTAGAGCATCGACTGAAGCTTTCCCATGCTGACAGTTTCTAAATGATCTCTCTGTAGTAGTAAAATCCAGCTTCTGTTACTTAAAACATGAATAAAGAGTGGCCAAAGGCTCTTCCAACTTGGCACTGGGTATAGGGTTTTGCTCTTGTCTGAATTTTTGGTGCACATAAAGGTAAGTGCTCTACTTGAATTCTTTCCCACATTAATAATATTTATTGGGGTTCTCTTTGCATGAGTTAATATATATGGAGTTGACATTGTTTTATGTGATATCTTCCTCATATGTGATCCATTCAGTGGCCTCTTTTCCAATTAGCCTCTTCAGCTAATATGCAAGGAGAGGAGAGGCCTTGAAACACTGCCCACACACATCCAGGTCCTATTTCTCTACATATTGACAGTGGTCTGCTCTCTGTGTGATGGTCTCCTTTTGAACGCTCCATGTTTGTTTTATTTTCATTCAGTGTTACTTTGCTGAATTTATAAGGATTTTCTCTTTTGTAGTCTTTCACCTGCGTAACATTCTAAATGAGCTTTAAGTCTTCTTTAGTTTTCAAGCATTGTGTATACAAGCTATGCTGAGGCAATTACCCTTCTCTTAAAGCTGAAGTTACAGGTTGACTCCAGGACAACATTATCCCAAAACTTATACTATTCAAAACTTTCTACTGGGATAGCATTGATGCTCAGGCTTATTTTTCTTCTGAAGATTGTGCTGAATTCCTAACTCATCCCATTACCAGGTCGCCAATGTGATGAGCAGATTCAATCCTCAAGAAACTTACCATTGATATGCAGACAAATGGGCCCTTCCTGAAGGTATCCTGTGTGGGTATTCTTCCATGCTTTCTAGGTCCACCTTCCATGCTTGAAAAAAGAGGGAAAAGAAAGAAGTAGAGTGACTTAGGGGAAGGAAAATTTTGGAAATGTTTGCAAAGCTAAGGTACATATGTGCCAAGTATCGGTTTTTAACACCGAGAAATGAGAGAATGTAATAGTGATTAGATATACAATATGGAACATTGATGGAACATACAATATGGAAATATTGATGTAGAATATTTTTAAGGGTAAAATGAATGAACAATAAAATGGGGGTTTAATGTTGAAGAAAGTCAATAAAGGGGAGAGACTGAGATAAATATGGCTACTTGAATGTTTAGCTCCAATAATAATAGAAAGACCTCTCTCTGAAGCCAAGGAATGTACACTAAGAAGAATCAAAATTAGTATGTTCAAAGAATTAGGACACTATCGGAGGGATATTTCTGCATTGGCCTGACAAGATGTCAGAGCTGTCAGACCTTTCCCTGAAGAGACTCTGTAGCTGATGTGACTGGTCCTGTTTCTCCCCGAGGAGTCTCCTCTCCACACAGAACCCAGGAGCCTGGATCCACCTGGACCTGGGACTCTGAGAGTCCTTTCTGCCCTCCACTTCTCGTCTCCTGGTCCAACCAGGAAATAACATCTATGTAGAGTCAAAAACCCTCTGTGGAAAAATGTGCAGGGATGTGGAGTTCTGTGTTGAGATCTGTGTGTGGTTTTCAAGTTCCCATCAGGAGGAGAGGCAAGGTGAACAGTAAAGAGCAGCACAGGAAAAGACATCCTGAGCCCTGGATGCACCACCAGCCCTTCCCCAGAGCAGGGAGGGCACTGAAGCTGGGCTCAGGAGTCCAATAATTGTCTACTGATGTTCACACCCAGGCCTGAAGTGGATGACAGAGTCTTCTTTTTCCCCTTCCTCTGACCACTGTGAATCGACTATTCTATAGTGGATTGAACTTTATTTTATTTTTTTTAAATCCAGTAACATAACTCAGTCCCAGCTCCAAGAATTGTATTTTAAAGGGATACTGTCTGCTCTGTTTAACTTTGTAAGGTTAAATTCTGGCAGAATAGTTTTTAGTAAACACTTAATGCATTTATCTATACATTTAATGCCCCCATGAAATGGTGCCCAGCACTGCTTTGAGTATTCTGTATAGAGCAGTAAGAAAGACATATGATTGTTTTCAGAAAGTCTACAATCTCCTGACATGCTCAAGATGAAATAAACCAATGAACAGAACCTCTTCCTCCATGTCCTAAGTGTTGTAGGGAGTGTATTTGTCTGGGTAAAGAGGGGAGAGAGCTCTGGGGGAGCTTTTCTAGATGATTCCCTACTAAGTAAATAAATGCTGACAGTTTCACCCACAGCGAACTGGTGAACAGATGACCGCTGTTCTCTAGCATCACATCCTTGGGCAGCTTCCTCTGGGAAGGGTCTGGCAGGGCCATCCTTTTTGGATAAAGTTCACAGTCACATTTTAAAGGTCACTGATTCCTAAAAACATGGTGGCCATTCTGGTCCAGGTCACTCCATGCCCGCAAATGTCCAGAGCTGATGGTTGAGGATGACAGTGCTAGGAAAGGCAGAGCGGTGTGTATCAAACCCGCAAGCCTGTTTGAATTCAAGTCCGATATTTCTTTGGGCTGACTTGGCATCTGCCTTTCAGATCTATTGCAGAGATGTGCACACTCTGAATAAACAATGACCTTCATGAATGAAGGAATATCACATGAGGGGCGGGGTGAAATAACATGGACATTCTCCAACAACAGATCATAAATTCCTGCTTACTGATTGATGATTATACAATTTTTACTTGTGAGTTTATAAATATACTCTTCTCCACATCAATTTTAATTAAATCTACAGAATAAATACAAGGTAAGCAAAAGCCATGTTCTGCCCTTTACCAGCTTTGACGATGGACAAATTATGCCCCCTTTTGAATCTCACGATTTTCATGTGTGAGTAAAGTTCATTACCTCCTGAGAGATTAAAGTGATTGAAAGATCTAATAAGTAAGTGCTTGGTACAGAGCACAACTCAAATAAAAACTACATATTATATGTTACTTACTAGTTATCCAGGAAGGTTGTCATTAAAAAGTGAGGTCTTGGTGCAATGTCCACAACTCGGCATGACTGAAGATTTGTACTAAACTTGGGGTCAGGAAGTGGTGCCTGTATTATCTCCACTCTGATCAGGTGTCCTCATCAGATGTGAGGAGAAAGTGTGTACCATGTGTCCAAGAGCCAAAGTTCTGTTGTCCCTTTGGTTGGCACCTCCCGTGGGAAAAAACGTCCTTCCCTTGGGAAAACAGCTCAAGGCTCATGGAGAGAAGGCTGCACCCTTGCGGGGTGGGGCCAGCAGCCCATGGGGGGAATGATCGGGGGGTGGGGGAGACTGAGTGAACGGCTGGGGTGGGGACACCCAGGAGGGGGAAGGAGGCCTGAGCCCAGGTCTGTAGGGTCCAGGTTGCCTCCCGCCCCACTTGGCTCTGGGTCCAGGGGGAGCAGAGACATCGAGGGCCTGGGATGCCAGTTGTCAGTCTGGAGGCTGTAGTTGGAGGGGGCAGAAAAGTAGGAGGTCTGGCTTATCTTTATTTCTAGAGACGTTCACCTTTCTGACACCAGAAACTAGGTTACAAGGAAGACTTGATTTTTTTTTAAATTGGTTAAGCAATTCTAATTCCTTTGCCCTTCCATTCAAATTTCTTTAAATGATGAATGCTCTAGTTTTTTTTTTTTTAAAAATAACACCATTGGGAGTTCCACAGCTTGTTATTTTCGTTGAATAATTCATCCCCAACTTCCTTCCAAGTACCTACAGATTTATCTCATTTAAAAAAACATTAATAACCAAAACACAAATTGCCAATCGCCTTGTGTGGTTGTACTAGAATTTACCTACCTACTTCCTTTTAATGACTATAATTCCAAATGCCCTGCTTTTATATTAAGTAATGCTGATCTCAATTTTTTTATTACACATGAATTTGCACAAGTGTTCCCCAGATGCCCATTTGTTATCATGGGTCTTTGTGAAATATGTAAAGATCAGTTTGTAGTCAACTTTATAGTTGATTTCTTTGATGATTTCTAGACTTCAGAGAAAAAGTGCTTTACAAGGACTCCATTCTGAAACCACAGAGTATGAATGATTCGTAAAGATTTCTCCGACTACTTTCATGGTTGCAGTTTTACAGTCCATGAAGTCCAAGTCCGCTTTGCGGCACCCGCCCCGCTGGGAGTCGCGCGGGGATCCCGTCTCCGCGGAAGCACCCCAGCGGGTTCTTTCCCGCTCTCCGACCTCCCCTCCCGCCCCAGGGTCCCGGCGCGTCCCCGCGGCGCGCTGTGCGGAGCCGGGAGCCGCTCCAGGGCAGACGGCCTGGGGCGAGCTAGGGCGTTTGGCGCCGCGGCTGCATCCTCCGCGGCAGGCCGGTGACAGGGAACCGTCCTGGGGCCCTTCCAGCCGGCTGTCCGGAGCCACCCGGCTGCCGCTTTGAGATCGTCGGTTCCCTCTGGTGGCGCTCGTGTTAAAGACTCTGCCTGCCAGTGCAGGAGATGGTAGAGACTTGAGTTCGACCCCTAGGTTGGGCAGATCCCCTGGAGGAGGGCATGGCAACCCGCTCCAGGATTCTTGCCTGGAGAATCCCACGGACAGAGGAGCCTGGTGGGCTACAGTCTATGGGGCCACAAAGTGTGGGACACGTCTGAGCACTCAAGCGTCTCACACTTCTCTCTGGAGCGTCGGCGACCTCTGCAAGGGCTGTGACTTGGCAGCCAGGCCCGAGGAAGCGTTCCGGGAGCCGGCAATACTGGCGGCGAAAGTCCCGGTATAGCCGAGGCCTTGGTGTTTTGTGTTATTGCTGAAGACTGTGCATGTAGGATTACCTAGGATGGTGACCTTGTGCACGGAGGGTTACTTAGGGTGGTGACCTTTGCGGCGTTTTGTAAAGGTGTGGGTCGGTGCTTGACTGGGTCGACCAGCACTCCTGGGTACCCTTCTGCCGATAGACCTGCCTGTGGTTTCAGGAAGTGGTGTTGGCACCTGACATTGTCTCCAATGTGTCACGTTTACAAGTGGCCTGGAGATGGGGACAACCGCGCCGAGTGTCCGCGTGGCTGACCCGTGGATTCCCTTCACCCTAATCCCCAGTCGCTGACATCTGTCCCGGGGAAGGGATGGGCCCGAATGCGCAACTGGGACTCGGAAATCAGGCCCGGACAGACCCGTTCTCCGTACCGTTGGACCGCGACGATCCTGCCCGCGGGCGGCCCAGGGTGCGTCCTCCCGCCTTGGGGCCTCGGGCCGCCCCGGCGCGGCTGCTCACCGGCGGCCACATTCGCTTTTCACGTCCAGCGGGAACCGGGCTCCGGACCCTGCCTCCGGGGACCCCTCGGCAGGCCGCGTTGGCCCTGACGCCGGAAGCGCCCGAGTCCCCTGTCCGGGGGCTCCGCGGGCGCGTCAGTCACTCACCCCGCAGGTCCCCTCCCCGCGGTGACCGCGCGGACCCCGCAGGCTGGCTGGGGGCACTCACGGCAGTCCGCCGGTCCCGCTCGGGGGTCGGAGGCGCCTAACGGAAGTTGGGAGAAAGGGACCTGCCTCCGCCATACGGTGACGGTCGTGAGAACCCCGACCCCGGCCGAGCTCCTGGCGGGGGCGATAGACAGAGGCTGCTCCAGAGTCTGGTCTCCGTGCTCGCACACTGAGTGCTCTGGGCCGGGCTTGAAGCTGGGTGCTCGCGCGCACCTTCGCCCGTGTGCGGCCCAGGTCCTCCCGGTGAGATATGCAAACAGTGGCGCCTCACGAGGTGGCTGCTGCAGCGAGGTAGACTAGAAGGCCGCAGGGTGGTGGTTCTCATTAAACAAAAAATCAATGAAAAGTTCGTTTCTGTTTTATCCATTGAGTAAGATTCACCACAATATAATTGAAAAAATTCTAAAATTCGTGGTAGCAAGAATCGCCATTGTTAATCAAGGCTACTGTGATTACTTTGCAGTTAAGTGTAAAACTTTGAATACAGTTTCTTTGTCCAGACTATTTGATGACGAAAAAAGGTCCACGATGCAGAATTTTCTAAATCCTCCTTGGGAGCCGATGGTTTTCTCCGTCCAAACAGGCCCACGCCTTATAGCTACCAACCCAGGAAGCCAGACCCCAGCCTCTACAGCAATACGCCCCAAGATCAGTGTTGGATCAGTGACTCACACCTTCTTCATTTTCAAGCTTTCCATTTATAGTGGAAATAAAATGCCAAATCTGTTCCCCCAAGAAATCACGTGGGACACTCTGTCAACCTGTCTCCAACTCCTCATCACAATTTCAAGGCTGGAAGCCCTGCCCGTTTTCCCGCCAGAAATCATCTCCACTCCCACATGTGCCCAGTGTTTCAGCCTCAGGTAAGCGGGGGTGGCTGACTCCTTTGCTATACAGACAAGCTCTGGATAAACTTGCTTGTTCTCATTTGGAAACTCTGCAGGTGCCTCAGTGGCAAAGAATTTACCTGTCAATGACTAAGTGGGTTCAATCCCTGGGTTTGGGAAGATTGCCTGGGGAAGAAAACGGCAACTGAATCCAGTATTCTTGCCTGGAGAATTCCAAGGACAGAGGAGACTGGAGGTTTACAGTCCATAGGATCGCAAAGAGTCTAACATGACTGAGCATGCACGCACATTCTCCTTTGGGGAGGAGGTCTTTTCATGTCTACAGAGCTTATTAGAGTGAGAACCAAATTTAAGATGTCGTTCTTTCTAAAAAATTGCATGTTAATGTTTAAAGAGAAATGCACGTCATAAAATTCACCCTTTCAGAAGCTTACAATGCAATGAGTCAGTTTACACAGAAATTTGCTCAACTGTCATCACAATGAATCCAGAACATTTCATTATGTCAGAAAGAAATCAAGAAATCATTAAACAGCCACTTTCCCTTCCCCTTCCTCCAGCCCTCAACAATCACCTGGGTGCTGTTTGCCTATGGGCTTGCCTGTTCTGTGTATTTCAGATAATTGGAGTTGCACAACTGTGGACATTTCTGGCTGGCTTCTCACACTTAGCATCACCCATGATTTAGCCTAGGGTTGGTTCATCTCTTTTGCTTTAGAATTGTCCATTCTAAGTCCATTAAGATGCTTAGAGACAATCTTTTTTACTGTGAACAATACACAGAATATAACAATTGCCATCATTTTATACACTCCAGTCCAGAGCATTGCATCTTGCTTTCCTGCAGATCCTCAACTTACCCCACCACCCCAGAACCACCGTCAAGCTCAGTGGACACAAGTTAAGGCCTGCTGCCTGTTCTCAAAACCCCACATGCCAGCCACCCTGAGCAGGACTCCACCAATGGGTGCCTCAAGATGGCGGCTAAGGAAAAGGGCTCCTGTGCAAGGAGTGGAGAGTAGTGGTGGCAAAGGAAAGGACAGAAGAGAAAGGTGGCAAAATCCTGACCCTCCAGAATTTGAAGTCTCCCAATCAAGTACTGACCAGGCTCCTGAGGGAGGTGTGGCCATTGATGCCCCCAGGCAGGGAATCCCTCCAGGCTCCAGTCTCCAGCTCACTCTGAGCCCTGGGCTCCCCAGGTCTCTGTGTGTGGGCTGCTCCTGACACACCCTTCAGCCCTCTGTGCGCTGTGCTCCTGAGGCTGGGACCTCTTAGCACGTGGGAGCTTGTGTTCCTGACCTAAAACTCCTAATATTGAGAGCTGGGAGTTGTCTTACTTGGAGCAAAGCGATCGCCTGGGGGCAGCGTCTTGGATCGCACTGAGAAACCACTGCGGAGTGGGGAGGTCAGTAAGGATGTGACGCTGGTGTAGACATCATCAAGCCCACATTTCTGCAGAAAGTTTGAGAGTCTCATGAAGATTACTGTCTAGTCAAAGAGCAGAAGTTACCATGAAGGATTTTAGTGCTTTTCTAAATATGAGGAGATAGAAGATTGAGCTCATAAAATCATCCTGTGAAAATTTCTATCTGAAGACTTGTCCTGCCAGTTTTTCCCACAACACAGGGTGACTCCTTTCTGCTCTCCACCCTGATCTCCTCTCAAGGGTGCCGAAAAGCAGCAACTGCAGCAGCTCTTCATTTACTCCTGCAGAGCTAGGTTGCAAGTGCTGATTTGTAGTGGACAGTCCCACTCAGGGAATGTGGTCCATGGCATTACACCGGGACCAGCTGAAAGTGGCCAAAGTCCAGTTTCCTGTATTTCAGTGCCACCCTGGCAGTGCCCACCCTTCTCCTACTCACTCCTGTATTCCTCCATCAGACATCCCACATCCAGGTTTCATGCTGGGGGTTTGGGGACAGCAAAAGCTCAAGCATCTCACGGTCATCAGGAATCCGGCCAGGCCCCACCTGTGGAAGGTTGTCTGGCAGAGCCAAACAGATTTACTGAGAGTTAGGAACAGAGAATCCAAGGGGAAAAATGACTTGTCCTAGGTCATACAGAAGACTAAGAGTTGAGCTCTGGTGGCCTCAAAATCTGTCTCCAAAGACCGACCATCCCAGGAGAGACCTTGAATTACAGCTACAGCCAGGCAATTATGATGAGGTGTGTTCCTTAAGTGCAAAGAGGGAGCAAGTGTGTCCTGGTGGCAGAGGGGCAAAGACTGCTCCTATCTGTTTCCCCACTTCCTGCTGCCCAGGGGCCCAGTCACCTTATGTTCCCAGAATGTCTTCTTTTGGCTCGGGTATCTGGAAGGATTCCTGCCATTTAAGTTTCTTAATGCTGAGGTACAGTCATGAAATTTCTTGATTCAATTGAAAATAAAAATGATGCTAACTACTGACATAGCAGATGAGGTGAACGTGAGACAAAGTCCCTCAACTCCTGGTCCCAGAAAGAAGGAAGAGGAGAAGAAAGAGACCTTTGATGGGTTCACACGTGGTGTGTTTCTTTTACTACTCATTGAGGCATCATCACAAGTTTGAGTTCCTTCCTCAGTCTGGTCCAGTGTCCTCACAGATCTCACACGCTAGAGAGGTAATCAAGCATGATCAGAGCCCTGGGGAGTTTCAGATGAGCCCAGATGCACCAAGAAGAAGGGGTGGCCATCAGCAAGTCTTCATGGAGTGGGCAACTTCTGAACTGGGTCCCTAAGGGTGAGTTATCTAGCCAAAGATTGGCACTGAATGCAAAAACAAAACACATGGTGAGTGAATGAATGGGGGCATCCCTCTAACAGCACAAGGAGGCAGCCCACCAAGATGGTAGCTTGAGATCACAGGCTGCCCTGGGAGAACGGCAGGAAGGGGCTGCAGTATGCTGCCTGCCTCAACCCCTGTGTGAGCTTTGCTCTTACACTGGCCTGTGCTCTACCTGCTCAGGGAGATCTTTCTGCCCTCCACTCTGGGAGAGTTCCTCTTTACTGGCACTGACCACACTTGGTGATCTGTGTGCGATCGGCCTCCACTTGAGGGGAGTGGCTTGGTGCAGAGGTGAAGGTCAGTGTGCAGTCTGAGGCTGGAGATGGTGGTGGGGAGTCCTGCTAATGGTGGGATCA